TTTTTAGTGTTTTCAGTTTCAGTTTTCTCCTGCAAAAAGGAAATACTGACAACCTATTACATAAGATTATTTCAATAATAAATGAAATATTTGTAAAAATGTTTTGATAATTCTTTTTTGAGGAAGATTAGCCCTGAGCTAACATCTGCCCGGCTGCCAATCCTCCTCTTTTTGCTGAGGAAGATTGACTCTGAGGTAACATCTGTGCCCATCTTCTTCTACTTTATATGTGGGACGCATCCCACAGCATGGCTTGATAAGCAGTGTGTAGGTCCACGCCCAGGATCCAGACTGGAGAACCCTGGGTGGCCAAAGTGGAGCACATGAACTCAACCCCTGTGCCACTGGCAGCCCCAAGCTTTGCTAATTTAATTAGATCCCTTCTAATTCCAAAATGAATTTGGGCTGAAGTTCTTTAGAACTTGTAAAATGGAATACAAATATAAATAAGTATTCCTGCTGTTTTTCTTAGAGTGCTAGTTTTCTGACATTACCCATGACTTGATTGAAAACACTGAGAGGTCAGTCAAGTGTCAGACTAGTGGGAATAAAATAGAAGACGTATTCTGTGATGATGCTAACCGGATACAACTAATAAAAGGCTGTAAAAGTTATACTTCTGTCAATTATAGTATAGAAAGAAATAATCTTGAAAGAAGGTAGGAAAGAGTAAATTTAATAAATAATGCCTAGGTCTTAAAAGTGTTTTTTAGGCATTATAATATAGCATATTTATATTTAATATAATAGATTTCTAGATATTATATATAGCATCATTATTTATTTAATACTAATAAGATTTCCTAGACCTCTGGAGAAGCCTGCTACTTATGTGATTCAAATTTGGAGCTGAATTATTTTGGAAAATTCCATGTTTATATGTGTATACACATGTGTATACACCCCATTTTTTCAATGGCCGTCAGCTGGGAATCATCTGCTAGTGTCTGATCCCTGATCATTGCATGTGGACCCCTTGAAATTCAAGCCAATGAGGGCCTGTAAAATTCTTCCAGTTTCACATTTCTTAAACTTCTCTTTTTGCCAACAGCCAGAGCAAATTTCTGCTTTTTATGTGTTCATGTGAGTAGATCGAACCCACTCAGATTATCTCCTTTTTGCTATATAATGTAACATAATCATGAGAGTAATATTTCATCATTCACAGATTCCACCCACACTCAATGGAGAAGACAAAGGTCATTGGCAGCCAATCTTAGAATTCTGTTTACCCTAGAAATAATTTAGTATTACCAGCTATTCTCATGAAAAGAAGTCTTCATGAGAGCTTTATGAAACCCTGCCTTGAATGGAAGTGAATAGCTTACCAGACTTAAGATTTATTCTGAAGTTCATTAATTTAATTTTGATTTGAAACACAGGCTTTTTATTTTTCTTCAAACAAGATATGATATTTCCAGAAACTTCCGCAGTATTTTATTTCCACAAATCTTATCACTCTAATAAAAATATGACCTGTAATTCTCATAAATTATCAGTATAAGGGTCTCCGAGCTCTTGAAAATACTTTGTGACAGACTATAGTTATTGTAATAAATGGTAGGACTTAATGGGTTTTAAGTATAAATAATAATAATAATAAATAATCCTAGTACAGCATAACTTGAAAGACTCTTTTCCATTATTAAAATATACTACGTCTATGCTTTGTTTCTTCATCTTGTCCTTCTTGTCTTTTCCTCTTCCATATAAGTGGAGTGTAAAGCTCCCTACTTATCACAAAATACTGCCTCTCAAGGACCGTTTAAACTTACTGCTGGGCCTCTCTGCTTAGCTGTAACATTCCCTCTGCAGACAGGTTAAACATGTAGTAATTCTAAGATCATGTTAATGATATAGATTTCTCTCACATGGAGTGAAGAAAACACCAAAATCTCCTTGAGAACATCAACATATATAGGCACTTGCTACTGGGGTACCAGAAATTTGCATAACCATTTTGCTTAAACCTTTTTCTACTTTCCCCTCAAATTGGCAAACAATCTTCCATCTTATGTTTTTCCTTGTCTTACACTCTAATCTATTCTTTCACTCAATTGTAGGACTTGAAATGCCTACAGTTCACCAAGCACTCTTTGAAGCATTGGGGTAATGATAGGATTGCACAGTGCTTATTTTCATGAAACTTAAATGTCTTTGGCCCAGGAAAGTTGTTTTCCTTTTACCAGAATTCCTAAATATATCAAAATATGTCCAGAAACTAGCACTGATTCTCTTTTTCAAGTAGAATCATAATATATTAGCAACCTGTAGTTTTTTAAAAAACAGGGGTTACAGGTGTGGTGGGAGGAGTAGGAAGAGAGGGATAGAATGGCTGGATGATTTCCGTTGGTCCACACTTGGCTTGAGGACACACCACTGGGAGATGGTGTCAGAGATTCTAGGTGTTATATAGTATATGAGAGACTAAAATTGTATATTTAAATTTGAGCTCTGGACCAACACTTTCTTGGATTTCTTCAAAGAAATAAGGAAGTAAGGTTGAACTTTATTCTTTTCATTTATTATGTCCTTCTTTCTTTTTTTGCAGTATTTTGCAAACTTGAAATTGTTTAGCTACCTATAAATATTTCTTTATTGCACATGTTTCCAACTAGACCCTAAACTCTGTGATATTGGACGCTGACTCTATTTTGTTTATCAATGATCATCCCAGTTCTGGCACATCACCTGATGAAAAATGAGTGTTCCATAAATATATTTTGGCTGATGAACTGACTAAATTGTGAAAAAGCTTACTCCAGAACAGTGTGGTAAAAATCAAGCAATACGATGCTTGTGAGAGTGCATGATAAAACATGCATGATTTAATTTTGTGTCTCATATCAGATAAGACATTACAAGTAATAAGAGTTTAGGGTAGCATTCAATCCCATAAGAAGTAGAATGTGTGAAGACAAGGGCTCTTAACCAATTATTTTTTTGTTTACTCAGACCATATTTTTAATATCTAAGAAGATGCAAAACTCAGTTGATAATTTATCCATGAAGAGCCTATGAATGAAGCAGCTGGAGAGGCTTAAACTTTGAGAAGTTCTCTCATGTTTTCTCTGCACATTCCCCTCTGAGTTAGTCAGTTCCAAACTGGAAGAGGTTTTCACCCTGATATTTACTGCAGAATGTTGATTTCCCAAGGACTTTAGAAAAATATGTATAGAAGGCTGGCATTAGTTCAAATTTTAGCATCTTGACAATTTACTTTGCCTAGACTATTTCAGAATTATTCAGCAGATTTTGATGAGAGGTCAAAGTTGTTAACCTCAACTTACTTCAAACAAGGGCACCTTATCCTTTAACTTGCTTTTTGCAGATTTTTCGGCAATCGTAGATTCAAATTTCTATTGTATCATCTGTAGGCCCTCTTGATAAAAATTACTACTCAGCTTCAAATTGAAGGCCATTTTTGGTCAAAGTAATTATAATTTGGAGAGGATCCCCATGATAAAACAGTTCAAAAGATAATTTCTTACCAAGTTTGTGGTAGAGGTTTGCAAAGATGATTAAGAAATTGTCAGAAGCTGTTTTCCAGCCATGAATAAAACTATTGCAATTATAATTGTTGATACTATGTGCCTTAATAAAAATACCTGATATACTTTATAAATTGTGTATCCAAACACTGAAAAATCAGATAAATAAAATAGAATTTTTATGGTAAGAGAATATAACAGTTTTGCAAATCTAGATATTTACAAAAAGCACAGATATATAATGTGTGCCATAATGTTGTTTATATTAGAAGGCTTGCAGCTATAAAATAATCCTAAGTTTTCTCTGAGATTCTATATCAACTTGGTTTTGTGCTCTTAATATATTTTTATCACATTACAATGCCTCTAAAGTATTCATCAAGGTGAGCTTTTCCATTGTAGAAAGTACTTTGATCAAAAATCCATTGTATTCCTGCTATCTAACATCTTTGTTTCTTTTCCTTTCCTTTCTTTTCTTTTCTTTTCTTTTCTTTTCTTTTCTTTTCTTTTGTTGAGGAAGACTAGCCCTGAGCTAACATCTGCCGCCAATCCTCCTCCTCTTTGCCAAGGAAAACAGGCCCTGAGCTAACATCCGTGCCCATCTTCCTCCACTTTATATGTGGGACACTTGCCACAGCATGGCTCTACAAGCAGTGCATAGGTCTGCACCGGGGATCCAAACCCACGAACCCCAGGCCACCAAAGCAGAACACATGAACTTAACCACTGTGCCACCAGACTGGCCCCTGTCATCTTTGTTTCTTAATCCAGTGCTCCACTCTTTCACAGACCAAAATAATTTCGTATGATTAGCTTTCTGTTCTGCTGAACCGGGAGATGCTTCTTTGTGTCTCAGGCGGCAGTTCTGTCGGGTTGATACTCAAACGCAAGGCAGTGAATGGAGAATTTGTTGGTTTGTGGTCATGCTTTTAATTGTGGCTCACCATTGTGTCATAAATCCCTAATTCTAATTCTGTTCTGCCCAAGGGAGTCAGTTAACAAATAAACTTCAAATGAGTACTGACTAATCAGAAAAAATGGAGTGTTACTTTAATGACATGAAATGATGAAGGATTAGGTGTCTCTACCTAATTAAGTTGATTATTCCTTAGCATATGTTATCATATGTTTATATTTGCTAACACTTTATTCTTTCTTTGAGGTATTCAACTTCATTTCTATGATCCTAATTTACAGGAAAATCCAATTATTCGGGGGGTCAAAGTCTTTAATGCTCTCCCACCACTGTATATTTAAGAAGAAGAACACAGTATTAGCATGGAGTATTAATATAAAGTCAAGCATTCATTTAAAGTATTTCCTAGTGATACTACTGCTAATAGTGATAGTAATTTATTACTTCTTATCATAAACATTATGAATTAGAACTTTGCACATTTTGCTCCTAGGTGATGACCATGTCTAATGGAAGGAAATTATGTAATGAATATATACAACGGCTGCTCAACAGGGAAACACATACTGATAAAGAAACCTATTAAATTGCAGGAAATTATCTCTCTAGGGAAGTTGCACCAGCCTTACTGCTTAAGTCATGTAAAACTGGACCAGAAAAAAAGAGCAGTGGAAACTACACCAGGGGGAACAATCCTGCTTTGGCAAGAAAAGTAAGTGGTGATGTAATCATTGCCCTCTTCCCTTCTACTATAAACATCTTTAAATTCATGTCAGAATCCCTCTGTACACATTGGTAGTTTCAGTACAGCAAACATATGGTCTCTTATCTCTCCTCTGGAAATCTTGACAACTTAGACCTATGGAAATTTATGTAGCTACGATAATTGTAAAATGTATGAATATATGATTTATTCTTTTCCACAGTATATAATCTTTCAACGAAATAAAAAGGAATTTAACTTTATTATTAAAGATAGCACATGTAGGAAAATAGATGGCACGTCATGTTATTCTGTTCATTTAACTGAACACATCAGTGATAAGAAAAGTCATTTAATATATCATTTACTACAAAAAGAAGACTTTTGATTTCCTAATAGGGGAGACATATTTGGACTCTTGTAGCTAGAATTTGGAGAGAGAATTATTAGGGAAAATGAAAACAAAACGAAATAAAGCTGTACGTTTTTGAAATATGCAGAAATTGTGAAAATTAAGGCATAGCTACTAACACTTGCACTCTCACGTCCTTCAGATCTTAATATATTGAGAATTTTGGGGAATAAATTAGTCATCTCTTTGGTGCATTGACCTGTATAGAGAAAGTTAAAAAACCAGCAGTGAGTTGTGGACACAACTTTAAAGTACAGAAAGAGCCAGCTAACTTGTCCTCATTTTGTATACTTGGATTATTTGCTCCTTCAATAAATACTTTTGAAGATCTGTTCTGTACCTGGCATTAACCGTTTTAAGCACATCAGGCACTAAGGAAACCAAAAATTAACAAAGTTCTTTTTTCCACTGTATTGAGAAAGGTCGTGAACTAAAAAACTCACTATAACTGTATCGGCATAGCCTCATACTCCAAGGGTGACACACTCCCATAACAGCACTAGCCAAGTTGCCTGAGGTAAACTTGGAGGAAGCAAGGTGGATGGTGATCAGGATGTGAACAGATGAACATGAGTTAATGAGGTGAAAAGAACAGAGGAGGCTAGCAGGACATCTTGTTCTAAACAGAGGCAGCAGCATCTGCAAAGATCCTGAGGAAGGTGAGAGAATAGAAACTGTAGAAACTGAAAGAAGGCACAGTGGCTCACGTATAGAGAACAAGAATAACAGGTTGGCAAAGTGGGCTCTCCAGGGTACTGTGTTGGGGATGGGATTTGAGTGCTTAAAAGATCAATTTAGCATTTTGGAAACATCTCTCTGAACGCCATGGGGAGAAAATTTGAGGTAAGGCCAGTTAGTAGGCTAGTAGCTAGTAGACTAGTGCCTTAAATCTGGAAAAAAAGAATTCCGCCTGCTCTAGGACGTTGGTAATAGACATTTTGAGGGGTGGAAGTGTTTATGACATGTACGAGAGGTAAAATAGATGCGAGTTTAGCTGAGTTGGACCTGCATGTTGAGACAGAGGTCATGGGAGAATACTTAATTTCTCGTGCACACAACTGGATGGATAATGGTGCTGTTCACTCAGAAGGGAAACACTGAAAGATAAACAGTTTTAAGAAGAAAAATTGTGGATCTGGTCATGAGCATGAGTTTTATATATTTTGAAATATCCACAGTAACAAACACACAATGATTAGATTTACCAGATAATATTGCTATCTTGTAGGTCAAAAAAATATTAAAATATCAATGATTCTATATGAGTCAGTCTAATAGCCATAAAGGTCCAGAGCTGCAAGAAGAGATTTAGGCTGAGGATTAGAGGGTGAAAATTACTAACATGTGGACAGAATCGAAGCTGGAGTATGTTTAACGTTGGCTGTGGAATAAATATAGAGCAAGAAGAGTCCAAGGCAAAGAAATAGAGCGTTGGACAGTTGAGGGGAAATTAGAATGATTAATGATTGAAACAAACTAAGAAATAATGACCAGGCATAGATCAGTTGTTAATAGATATCCAAGGTAGCTATTTTTCATGTTTTCCACTGGGAACCATGATCTTTTGCTGAACTCATTTCTAATGGCGGTAAATCTTTTGCTAAGGACTCAGAGTGAACACAAGAGTCACCCATTTGTTGCCACTGGTAACACACAGACTGAAAAAACAGTGAGGAGGGGAATGATGAGTTGCTGTCTGTCTTTGTCCCTTCAGGTAGCAATAACAGAAATACCTTGGGGACGGGAATTCCAACATCAAGGTGCCAGCAGATTTGGTGTCTGGTGAGAGCCCGTCTCCTGGCTCACTGGTGGCTGTCTCCTTGCTGAGTCCTCATGTGGCAGAAAGAGTGAAGAAGCTCTCTAAGGTCTCTTTTATGAGGGCACTAATACTATTCAGGCAGAGCCCTCATGACATACTCACCTCCCAAAGGCCCCATCTCCTAATGTGATCGCAATGGGGTAAGGATTTCACATAGGAGTTTTGGGAGGTCACAACACTGTTCAAAGGATATAAAATTTCACTTATGCAAGATAGATAAGTTCTAGAGACCTACTATGCAATATTGTGCCTATAGTTAACCATACTGTATTGTACACTTGAAAATTTGTTGAGAGTAGATCTCATCTTAAATATCCTTACAACACTAAAAGAAAGAAAAGGAAGAAAACAAAAGACAGTGGGTGCACAGGTCCAGATGTCTTGGTACTCTGACAAGAGGCACCCCAGAGCAGAGCTGGGGTACACTGTCTTCCCACAGAGGGACATTAACTGTTCTCCCTTCGCCCATGTCCTCCTTTTATTTGGGGCAGGATAAGAAGAGCCATGTACACACAGATTGGTTGGGTGTTGAGTCTGAGCTTAAGTGGCCACTGTTTACAGCCTTTATGGGGAAATCCAGCTGTAAGACCTAAAGACCTTGGGGTCTATTGGAAGTTGCAACTACCTCTGGATGAAAGAAGCTTCCTGCCCCCTGGCATTTGGGCGTAGCCCTTCCCTTTGGGATGTAGTGAAATTAGCATGGCCTCTGGAGAGAGGTTACCTGGGTTTAAGGCCCAGAACTACCACTAATAGCCTGTGTAAGTTGGACCATGTTACTTGATCTAACTGTGCCTTTATTTTGCTATCTGTAAAATGGGAACTAAAGACAATATCTATGTACAGTCGGTGAGGATTAAACGAATTACTGAAGGGGAACTTTAAAACAGTGCACAGAATGTAAAGTGCTAGCTGTTATTGTCATCTTTGTCATATCACCTTTTTACGTAGGCACTTTACAAATGAGAGAGGATAAGCTTGTCAGGCGATGGCAGAGCAGGAAAGAGATTTTTATATCCTTACAAAATTGTTCTTTCTCTCACTGGTGGTTGGAGGTTATATGCCAGTGTTGTTGCCTTTGTGCCCAGTTCTTAACAAAATAATTATTTGATCGTTGTAACACCTTTTACTAGTCACAGAATCTAAGATAAGAAAAAATATACCTGTAATTTATTTTTGAGAGTTGTAAATATTTACTTCAATTGAAAGGTGTCAAACATTAGAACAAATCTTAATGTAAAAACAACATGTAACAGTATAAACGAGGCATTTCAAGTTTTAGCGTAAAGATTTAGCTATTGTCCTGTATTAATTTCAGCTCATGGTTTACTGTTTCCAAGAAAAAGTAATCAATTATATGATACAATATGACATTTTGAATTGATATTATGCAAAATGTGATTCTATTTTTATAATCAAAGACTGAAATCATTAATATTAACCACTTTCCATTCCATTTGTTACTTTAACATCTATCATTATAAGAATATTTAAGACTGCATATGGCATATAATATTGCTTTGTGACTACCCATAATTTTGAAAAATACATTACAAATGATAATATCCATATAATGTTTAAATAATAAACAAAAGAATGTTCTGTTTCAACAGGTGAGTTCAGAATACGCATTAGTTTTACATTACATTTAGAATTTCCAGTAGAGCCCGCTGTTAGCACTGACTCAAAGACCTAGCTAGAATTTAGGTTTAGGAAGAAACTTTGTTCTATTTTGGGAGCAGTTTAGGGGTTAAAATTATTCCAAGCTCAAAATACGTCAAGAACTTTTCAAATGCTTACTTAAAGCTTTGGTTTAAGCATGGCAAACTCTAAAATTCACCCTGAAGGAAGAAGTTAAGGATAACTAACAGAATGCACACTAGGTGTACAGCTAAAAAACGTGTTGCTGACTTTCAGAACATCTAGATGACTCAGAACCCACCAGAGGCTGAGAGATACTATATTATAAGAGAATTTTTACCTACCATTTCCCACCAAACTCATAAATTGAACTTCATGGTTTTAGACTCAAATGCCAGAAAGCAAGAGAAAAGCAAGGATCATTATATTCCTGTTGTTAGTGCATGTTAGACGAAGAACGTAGGCAGTCTCTTCTGTCATTACTAAGTCTTTGGATATTAACACTTTTTAAAACGTTTTTATTTTTATTTATTTTTGCTGAGGAAGATTAGCCCTGAGCTAACATCTGTGCCAATCCTCCTCTATTTTTTTGTGTGTGGGACACCTCCACCGTGTGACTGGTGAGTGGAGTAGGTCTGTGCCTGGGATCCGAACCAGCAAACCCAGGCCACTAAAGTGTAGTACGCAGAACTTTAACCACTGGGCCAGGGGGCCAGGCCCTATCATTTTATTTTTATTGTATTGTATTGCTTTCCTGTAACCCAATCAGAACCTAAGCTCAGTTCTTGAAATTCCCAATGTTCCCTAGGTTGCCCGTAGTGCTGGATGATAACCTGAAGGCAATCTCTAACCTGCAATGATGTTACTTACATTGCATTGGGGCCTGGCTTTCTGGTATCGTGCCTCAGTTAGTGGTAAGTGAGTGACAATTACAGTAGGTAGTAGAATGAACTCTGGAATAGTTGTAAAAGACAGGAAATAATGGTTATTGTTCTATGGAACTATGAATAATGAATGATCTCCTCTATAGTTACAGCACTTGAGTGTAAGAGCGCCTGGAAGATATTGGACACATCTTGGATCTAGGCCATTAGAACTTAATGTAGTAGGATTTACAGAGTGAAAGAAACATTTGTCTAT